CAGGCACCACGGGGCTCGAGGGCGTCCCACAGCTGTGACTCCCTGGGTTCCAGGCAGAGTGCTTGTGTGCACAACCCCCACCCACAGGAGGATAAGCATGGGGTCTGGCTGTTTGGGCCTGCCTGCAGAGGGCCTGAGGAAGAGGAAGACGGAGGCGTCAGGGAAAGGAGACAGAGCATGAGGAAGGGTGCTCAGGACACGGCGTGGAGGGAAAGGAAGCGGAAGGAAGGGTGCTCAGGACACGGCGTGGAGGGAAAGGAAGCGGGAAAAGAGGGGCGGGTGGGGTGGTGAATCAGACCTTTCACAGTGAGCTGGAGGGAAGCCAGGACACTCTGCCCAGGTCCCGCTCACCCCCAGGCCCTCCCAGGAGGGCTGCCGGGGTGGCTTCCTCTCCTCCCTGCAGAAGTGGCCATGCTCTACGTCACACTTGCCTTGTGAAGCTAACAAACACTGCCATCTCAGCCACAACTGTCCCGCCCAGGGCTCAATGCCCAGGCCAAGGGGACCACAGTCAGGCTAGAGGGAAGGAAGGCGACACTTGAGACAGCTCAGCACAGAACTTTATCCAATCAGAGCCGGGCGCAGTGGCTCAGGCCTGTAATATCCCAGCACTTTGGGAGGCCAACGCAAGATCACTTGAGGTCAGGAGTTCGAGACCAGCCTGGCCAACATGGTGAAACCCGGTCTATACTTTAAAAAATACAAAAATTAGCCAGGCATGGTGGCGCTGTAGTCCCAGCTACCCGGGAGGCTGAGGCAGGAGAATCGCTTGAACCTGGGAGGTAGAGTTTGCAGTGAACCGAGATCACACCACTGCACTCCAGCCTGGGGATAGAGCGAGACTCAGTCGCAAAAAAAAAAAAAAAAAAAAATGTGTATACAATCAGAATGTTCCACGCAGGATGCAGGAGATCCAATCCAATCAGATCCTCCCTTCTGAGACCACTGTGTGAGGGTCTTGAATAAACCCTCATCAACAATGGTCACCTGAGTCTCAGTTCAGTGCCCCTCCTCAAAGAATCCTCCCTGACCACTCTAAACTACCTAAATAAGGCAAGCTGTGGTGGCTCATACCTGCAATCCCAGCACTTAGGGAGGCTGAGGTGGGTGGATCACCTGAGGTCAGGAGTTCGAGGCCATCTTTTTTTTTTGAGACAGAGTCTCGCTCTGTCGCCAGGCGGGAGTGCAGTGGCACAATCTTGACTCACTGCAGCCTCTGCCTCCCGGGTTCAAACATTTCTCCTGCCACAGCCTCCTGAGTAGCTGGGACTACAGGCACCCACCACCATGCCCAGCTCATTTTTGTAGTTTTAGTAGAGACGGGGTTTCACCATGTCGGTTAGGCTGGTCTCAAACTCCTGACCTCATTATCGCCCAAGCTAGAGTACAGTGGCACGATCTTGGCTCACTGCAACCTCTGCTGCCCGGGTTCAAGCGATTCACCTCCCTTAGCCTCCCGTGTAGCTGGGATTACAGGTGCGCACCACCACGCCCAGCTAATTTTTGTATTTTTAGTAGAGACGAGGTTTTGCATCTTGGCCAGGCTGGTCTTGAACTCCTGACCTTGTGATCCACCTGCCTCGGCCTCCCAAAGGGCTGGGATTACAGGTGTGAGCCATCGCTCCGGGCCAAAATCACCCTGTCTTTCAGCTTTCCCTCCATAGCGCTTCCACCGTCTGGAATTCCTGTGCTGATGGAAGTTTGCTGTTGCCCCGTGGATCTTCCCTCCTAAGAGCAGAGGCCTGGCCTCCCTCATGCTCCACAAAAACTCTAGTGCTTACAACAGTGTCTAGCACACAGCAAATGCCCCCTATATTTTCATTGAATTAATGAACCTCGAAGAGCCTGGAGCCTCAGTCCTCCTGCCGTGTAGGAGGGGGCTGTGGAACCCTTTGGAACTGCCTGCCCCTGGGACATGGCAGCAAGGAAGGCGAGACACCAACCACCCAGCCCTGTACGAGCTCCACAGCCTGTCCCCTCCCCTCCCCACCTCCCAGCACTCAGGCCCAGCCTGCTGGGACAACCGGGGGTGACCTGGATCTCAGGCTGCTCCAGCGAGAACCAGTGCAGCGGGTACTTGGGGGCATGCATCATCTCCACGGGCACCGTGAACTGTTCGTCCAGGTGGAAGAAGCCTCTCTTGGTGAGGCTCGGGTCAAACTTGTTCCTCCAGAAACCTGCAACCAGGCAGAGGCAGGGTCATGGAGATGGGGCCCAGCCCCTTGCCCATCCCACCCAGCACCCATTCAAGAGGTGGAGAGTGGTGGAGGCCAAGATCCCAGGGAATGCCAGTGGCATCCAGTGGATTGAGGTCTCTTTCCTGCGGGGTTTTGAAATCTGGGCTCATGCTTCCCCCCACCCGAGCAACGCCCCCAGGAATCTCCCCTGGGTCTTTTCAGACCATCTGTTCCCAGGTACTCCCTCTAGGACAACCTCATCTGGCTCCTGGGCACCCGCCCCCACCACACCCAGACACACCCTGCCTCATGGCCCAGACAGAGGAGAAAGGGGACCCTAAGAACAAAGCCTGCACGGCCGGGCGCTGTGGCTCACACCTGTAATCCCAGCACTTTGGGAGGCTAAGGTGGGCAGATCACCTGAGGTCAGGAGTTCAAGATCAGCCTGGCCAACATGGTGAAACCCCGTCTCTACTAAAAATTAGCCAGGTGTGGTGGCACATGCCTGTAATCCCAGCTACTTAGGAGAATAGCTTGAACCCAGTAGGCGAAGGCTGCTGTGAGCTGAGATTGTGCCACTGCACTCCAGCTTGGGTGACAGAGCGAGGATCAGCCTCAAAAAAAAGGGGGGCCGGACACGGGGGCTCACACCCATAATCCCAGCACTTTGGGAGGACAAGGCGGGTGGATCACCTGAGATCAGGAGTTTGAGACCATCCTGGCCAACATGGTGAATCCCCATCTCTACTAAAAATACAAAAAAATGAGCTGGGCATGGTGGCGGGCGCCTGTAATCTCAGTTACTTAGGAGGCTGAGGCAGGAGAATCGCTTGAACCCAGGAGGCGGAGGTTGCAGTGAACTGAGATCGCACCATTGCACTCCTGGCCTGGAGAACAAGAGTGAGACTTGTCTCAAAAAGAAAAACAGGTCTGCACAACCCAGCTCGGCCTACGGGGTGGGTGACGCCGGGTGGGGGATGTGTGAGGAGGAGGAGCGCACCCTGAAAGTGGATGGCATTGAGGAGAAGCAACACCGTGTCTCCCGGCAGCTGGGAGAGGAACTCCGGAATCTTCCCCTCCGTGGCCTCCTTCACCCACTGGTTGATGTTTGCCAGGTCATCCTCCTGCTTTCCCGTCAGGCTCACAGGCTTTGCACCAAATATCCGTTCTGATTGTTCCAGGAACTCTTCTTTGATGGGAAATCCTGCACACAGGGAGCACAGGCTGTCCCCGGGACTCAGGCTCCACGGCCAGCCATGCTCCTACCTGCTGCCAGAGGCCCAGCCCCTGTCTCTCGCCCTCCTCCACCCCAGGGCAGGACAGAGGGAGCTCCCCGGCCTCAACACCCACCTTTCTGCAGGTACATCCTGGCGGCCAGTCGGAAGGCGCCGGGGCCCAGGCCCTGGCAGAGGCGGCTCAGCTGATGGGGGAGGCAGGGCCCGGGGCCGGCATACAGCACCTGGTGCAGCCTCTGCAGCGTGTGGTTCTGAGCACCTGGAGGGCAGTGCACTGGCTGAGGCCCACTTGGGCCCTTTCTCACCCCCACTGCCCGCTCTAGCCCCTCCTGGATACCTGTGATGAGCACGCCCACAGGACCACACACCGCCCTCCCACAGCCACGGTTCTGCTCTGCGTGACTGAGTCTCTCCCCCGTGGCTGACAGCCTGGGTGACCTCACATCTCGCAAGTGACTTTCCCTCTCTGGGCTTCCATTTCCCAGAGCAAGACCCTCCAGCACAATGGGAGAGAGTGCAGCTATCAAACTCTCATGTAAAAATCACCAGGAGAGGCCAGGCGCAGTGGCTCATGCCTATAATCCCAGAACTCTGGGAAGCCAAGGCAGGTGGATCCCCTGAGGTCAGGAGTTCGACACCAGCCTGGCCAACAGGGTGAAACCCCGTCTCTACTAAAAATACAAAAATTAGCCAGGCGTGGTGGTGGGTGCCTGTAATCCCGGCTACTCGGGAGGCTGAGGCAGGAGAATCATTTGAACCCGGGAGGCAGAGGTTGTAGTGAGCTGAGATGGCGCCATTGCACTCCAGCCTGGGCAACAGAGCAAGACTCTGCCCAGACAAACTAACAAATCACCTGGAAGACTTGTAAACAAGCAGATTCCCCCGCCCAGTCCCTGAGATCTGACACACACAGACCGACAGGTGGGGGCCTGGGAATCTGCAGTTTTTAACCCAGCAGCCAGGTGACCTGGTAGAGGAGGCACCCTTGGAGAACCCCTGGAGTACCATGTTCCTACTAGCCTCCCATCTCTCTTGGTCTGGACAAGTGGTGCCAGGGTACCTAGTGCCAGGTGAGACAGCGCCAGGGCCACACTGAGGGGTGACAGGATGAGGTTGGGGCTGGTGGAGGTTTCAGCCACCAGGGAGAACAGCTTGGCAGTGAAGGCCGTCATGGCCCGGGCTAGCCTGCGGGTCTGCTGTGGGGTGGGGTCTCCGCTGCAGTCTCTTGCTGGACTCTTCGGGGCAGTCCGGCCACCAGGTTCCTGCGGGGGCAGATCAGGAGGCAGGGAGGTCAAGGGGTCAGCTCCGGGTTCTGTGTTGCAGGTCCTGAGGACAGCAGGGCCTGGTCCCAGCCCGAGGGGAGAGGGGGCATCCGACGGAGGGCACTGGCATTCTGGGGCCTGGACCCCACCTTTGGTCCTCCCCGCCCTCTGACACTCCTAGCTTCCAGATTCCAGAGCCTTGGCCTCGCCCCGCAGCCCCCGGCCCTGCTGCTGCGGCCACCTCCCTCTGGCCCCGCCCACTCTTCTCCAGCCCCACCTGGTCGTACCTGGTTGTCCAGCTTGAGGAAGGTAAGCGGGAGCACCCTCTCCTGGGTCGGCCCCATAGTTAGCTGCAGAACGGAGGAAGCAGCTGGAGCGCAACCCTCCCCACAGGGCCCCACCCTGCCCAGCCCACCGGTGAGACCCCGGGGCCGTCCCCCGTCACGGGCTCCTCGCTCCCCAGTACCTGCTGGTCCACGGGCTCCATGGCGCTCACGGGGGAGAACTGTGGAGAAATGGGTGAGGCTAGGAGGGCCCCCTGGGAGCCAAGCCCTCCCTCCACACCACCACCCCTCTTCTCCCCCTCTGCCCACCCCACCTGGACGTCAGCCCAGCCTCACCACAGAGCAGGAGCTGAGCAGCAGGAGCCCCCAGAGCAGCGCCATGTTCCTGTGGCGGGGACAGAAGGTCTGTTCCCATCTCCCGTCCCCACGCCCGCCAGGGACTCCTACCCACACACTCACAGACACGGCCAAGCCCCGAGTCACGAGCGCCAAGGGGAAGAAGCAGGTTCCAGAGTCAGAACAACACACGCGAAGCGGCTCCCCCTCCTGTGGGGCGGGACAGCCCTCCCCAGTTCCTTCCCTCTTTGAAGTTTCTGGTCTTTCACATTTCGTGCACTGAAGGTGTTTTGGTTAATAGGAGGGAAATAGCAAAACACAAATATTCCCCTCCTTCTAGGCCCCACACTGTGCAGCAGACCTGCGTCTCAATCCAGACTACCCCTTGCAAAGGACCTTGGCACTCCCCGTAACCCCACCAGGCTTGGTGTTACCTTTAAAATGGTGGCCTGAGTCCCTCAGTCCTCTCACGTGCTCGGTGAGGACCAAAATAAGGCCATCTGTGTGGCCGGGCGCAGTGGCTCACGCCTGTCATCCCACCACTTTGGGAGGCCGAGGCGGATGGATCACCTGAGGTCAGGAGTTCGAGACCAGCCTGGCCGACATGGAGAAACCCTGTCTCTACTAAAAATACAAAAATTAGCTGGGCGTGGTGGCATAAGCCTGTAATCCCAGCTACTCGGGAGGCTGAGGCAGGAGAATCGCTTGAACTCGGGAGGTGTAGGTTGCAGTGAGCCAAGGTCGTGCCACTGCACTCCAGCCTGGGCAACAGAGTGAGACTCCGTCTCAAAAAATGAAGATAAAACAAGGCTGTCTCTGTAAACTGTGAGTACAAGGCTTGGCACCCGCCGATGGCTGGATTTGGCTTGGCTCAAGGCCGCCTCTTCCGGGAAGCCTGCCCTAAAGCCTCCACCCCAGAGCTCCTGCCCAACCTGCTGTGTCCTCTGAGCCAGTCTTCTCAGGCCGTTCGGGTCTCACCCACGAGGCTGGACATACCTGTGAGGCCCTGAGGTCTCAGCAGGGCTGTCCAGGCGGCCGGAGAGCTGCCTTCTGACCCAGCAGCAGAGCCCAATGAATGATTCCGGCCAGAGCCGCCTGTGCTGACCCTGACCCTGACCAGGCTGGCTCTGGGAAGGGCAGGGGTGGGTCTCAGGAGGATAAGCCAGAGCAGGTGTCGCAGCCACCCCCCCACCCCATCTTGGGGCCAATCCTTCTGAGGGTCCTTCTGTGGCCCCTGGCCCCACCCTCATCGCACACAAGCACTCTGACCAGGCCCCGTCTCGGACCTGGGCGTTTGAATCTTCTTGCCAAGAACAGGCTCCAGTGTTTCAGGTCCCAGAGGTACTCTTCCCGGAGCCCCCGCCTTGGCTCCGCACTGCCAGAGGAGGCTGGGGAGTGACAGGCCTCCTGAATCAATCCAGCCCAGACCCCTCAGTGGGGAAGGCAGCTCCCTGCCTCCTCTGCCGCCCGGGGAGCAGGCCAAGCCACCCACCTCCCCCGTACCTCTGCGGGCTCCTTGCTGCCGCACTCGAAGTTCCTCTGGCCCCACTTGGGTGCTACCCGCCCTCTGCACGGGCTCCAGCCGGCCCGGCCCACCCCTCCGCCCACCGGGACCTTTACTCTCAGCCAACCCCGTAGAGAGTGCGTTCTCTTCTGGTAAACATTGACTGGCACATCCGGTTAAACATTGATCTTGAAGCCAGAAGCCCCTTTCCCCCCAGGTGTGTGACCCTGAGGCAGCCACGCAGGACCCCATGGATTTGGGTCCCATGTGAGCCTGGAAAGAGGTTCAGGAGGAGAGAGATGAAGAGGCTGGACCTGGGTGGCCGAGGGGGCAGATCCGGAAGGCACAGGAACCCGGCAGTGTGCTGAGCCTTCCAGAGACCCCACGAGGCGTGGATCATCCCTGCTTCACTCAGGCTCAGAGAGGCCATGTGATCTGGCCAAGGACACAGAGCGGCGCTGAGTCACATCCAGATCCTCATGTTGAGTGTCCTTTCCCCTCCCAAGAGCTGCCTCCTGCTCCCACAGAGGGACCAGGGAAGCCACAGGAGTCTATGCAGAGAGCCTGGGAATGGGACACGCACCTTACAAGCCCGGGATAGGACACCCACCCCCCACCCTTACAAACCTGGGATTAGGGCGCCCACCTCACCTTACCAACCTGGGACGGGGCGCCCACCCCCACCTTACAGACCCGGGACGGGGCGCCCACCCCCACCTTACAGACCCAGGACGGGGCGCCCACCCCCGCCTTACAGACCCGGGACGGGGCGCCCTCCCCCACCTTACAAGCCCAGATCCAAGTTGGCTGCCTTCAGACCAAGCCTGGAAGGCAGGGGTGAGGGAGGAGAGATGGGAGGGGTCACCTCTCTCAGTGTCCTGCCTCCCCAGAGCAGTGTCTCTTTCCCCTACCCCACAGTGAGGGTCCTGGAAACGCGCCTGGGTGGGCTTTGTGAACCAGAAGGCTCGCAGCCCATGCCGTTCAGGCTGCCTCCCACCCCCATGGGTGGCTCTTCACTGCCCTGGACACCGCCGGGTCTCCCCTTGCCCCACCCTGACCCCACCATCGAGATCAGCCTCAGGCTGGGCACGGTGGCTCACACCTGTAATCCCAACACTTTGGGAGGCCAAGGCAGGAGGGTCGATTGAGCCCAGGAGCTGGAGGCCGGCTTGGGCCACGTACACGGTGAGGCTGCATCTCTTGGAAAACACACGAGACAAGCCTCAGTTCATCCCATGGCCCTTCCAAAGTATTTATTGGTCATATTTACATCTATTGCAAATTGTGAGGAGGCAGCAGGCGCCACCCCAGGCCTCAGCTCTGTTCTTGAATGTGAGGCTGAGGTGCAGAGACCCGAGGTGCAGAGATGGCTCTTCTCACCCCTCCCCTCAGGGTCACAGAGCCCAGCAGGGGTTCAGGGCCCAGAGGCTGCCTCCTCAGGTCAAGGCACAAACACTGTGGTTAGGGGTGGGAGGCAAGGCATGGGCTCACTCCTGGAGGCCAAGGGCCGCTGGCAGAGGGCACCTTCTCTTTCCTCCTTCCCCTCCTGGTCCCACCCTGGCCAGGCCCTGGATGGGTGGACACTTGAACCGCAGACCAAGGTGCTTAGCTCCTGGACTGTGGCCAGCCTCCTCAGGCTGGAATCCAAGAACCAACAGCACCCTGGACTGGGGCGGCTGGCAGAGAGCCGTCCTGGAGGGACGGGGCAGAGAGCACCCAGCAGGGGCTGAGGGGCTAGAGACTGGCCGGGCAGGGCCGAGTTTCCTTGTCCTCACGTGGACCGGAGGGCAGAGCTGGGGAGAAGTGAAGGTGACTGTCCTTCCTCCTGCTCTCACTGCCCGCTTGCTAGGAGCAGTGTGCCCCAGGCCATGAATGAGACCCCTCTGGCATCCTTGCTGGCTCTGGCGATTCAGGGGCCAGGACTCCCCAACCCCAGTTGGGGGCCCTGGTTGGCAGGCCACGTGGGCACCAAGGGTGTGGGGCCCAGGGCCTCCCTGGAGGGAGCTGCTGCTGGGGAACAGGGCAAGGGTTCGCCCCCTGGGGGATGCCTTCCCCACCCTTGCCTGGCCAGCTCTGGCCCCAGCCTATGCCAGGAGACGGATAACCCCGTTGTCGGAGCCCAGCAGAAGGTGGCGTTTGGTGGGCAGCAAGGCCAGGCTGGTGAGCGTGCCGCGGAAGTTCTCGGAGCTGAGCTTGGTGGTGGCCTGGGAGGGCGGCTCCAGCAGGGAGCAGACGCCGATCTTGTTGGACACGGTGCCAGTGATCACCTCGCTGCCGTACAGGTCAAAGGTGTGGATGGGGTCGGACGCCGACTTGTAGTGATGCGTGGGCTTCTGCTCCAGCTCCTTCCAGACGGTCAAGGAATGGTCAGAGGAGGAGCTGACCAGGACGCTGCCCTCCACCGCCTGTCCCGGGAGAGGGGAGCCTCAGCCCGGGCCCGGGTCCTTCTGCACACCCCGGAGCCCCGAGGCCTTCATTTCCCTCTGCAGTCTCTCCAGGAAGACAGGCCGTCCTGGGTGGGTGACAGGCTGCCACCCTCCCATGCCATATTCAGCCTGGTTCATTTGAATACACTCAGCATCAGTAACCCCAGTGGTCACTCTAGCTTGAGAGCTACGTACAAGCATTGTGCTGAGCGAGCACGTGACCACACGTGACCTTCATAGCAACCCTATGCGGTGGGTGTGGCCATTGTCCCCATTTTACAGAGAGGAAAACTGAGGCTCAGAGACGTGACGTAACCACACCACGGTCACGGGGCCAGGAAGTAGCAGAGCCGGGATTAACACCCAGGCTGACCCGAGCCTTCTGACACGCTCTTGGAAAGTTAGAATTTAGAGGTCCCTGGAGCTTGAGGCTCCTGGGCCCCAGGAGGCAGCCAGCCACAGCCTGCTCTCAGCGGGGCCACACATGTCGCCTGGCCTCCAGCCATGATGGGAGGAAAGCCCCAGCTGCCTGCAGAAATCCTCCCTGTTCCTCCCCTCCTGGGCGTCCCTGAGCAGCTCCCTGAGGCCTGTGATTGAGAACGGGGTGGGGGGCAAGGGAGGGGAGGAGGCGGCGGGGCAGGATCCCCATGCCCAGGTGTGCCCCTGCCCTCTCCAAGGCGGCCCAGCAGGCCGTGGACTCTGCTCAGTGGTCTGCGGGCAGTAAACAGCCTCCCAGCTGAGCTTATTTAACCTGAACTGGGTCACGGACGGGGCCTGACCCCTGATCCTCCTAACAAGACAAATATGGACAAGGGTTATTCATTAGAACATCTGGCAGGGTCAGCTCAGCCCCCGTGGCTCCCGCCCCCACGGCCTGCCGCCTGCCGAGGCCCCAGCTTCGAGACCTGCTCCTCCCTCCTGCCCATCGTCTTCCGCCAGGTATATAAGACACACCGGCTGGAGCCTGTCCCCAGGCAGGCAGGCCCCAAGCAGGGGTGATGATGGGACAGGGACGGGGGCTGGGCGGTAAGGGAAGGGGACCCGGCCCATCACCTTGATCTGCAGAATGTCGCCCTCGTGGGCTGGCCAGCCTCGCAGAACCAGGCCCGTGCGGGTGTCCAGGAGCACCATGAAGCCCGAGGAGAAGCCAGCCACAACGCTCCGGCCACTGGGGCTGACTGCCAGGGAGCGGACAAGCCCGGCGTTCAGCCCACCGCCCAGGCGGAACTCGTGCTGCAAAGAGGATGGCTGAGCTGACGCCCGACCTTCCGACCCCCCCTCCCCGAGGCCCTGCTCACCACCGCAGCCCACATGGCAGGAAGGCCTGAGCTGGGACCCTCATGGAGGGGCAGGACAAGCCCAGAACCCCACCCCCCTCACAGGCCAGGGTCTTGCCCCCCAGGGGGTGCTGCTGCGGGTGAGCCGGCACCAAAGAGAAAGTAACTAATGCCCCAACAACATCCTGGCTTTCCGTTTTTGGGGAGTCTCTCCTCCCTGCCAGGTCC